TTAGTGCACCCTCAGTGCTGGTGAATTTATACAAAATTGTGACTATATAAAAAAAACAAAAAACAAACTTGGACCGAGTTGGTTGATAGCATTCATTGCTTTGATTATATGAGTTCCTGTGGCAGGGTTAGCATAAGGAGCCACAGAAGCATTAAGGCAAGACTGATGATTGTTGATCTATCTCTACAGTATACTTTTGTCCCCCATACACTGTACCAGCGGTCCCCTGTCCCCCACTGCAGTAGTGATGATGAGGACCCCGGGGGACGCAGTCCACCCTTTGAGGTGTCCGAGGGTGAGGACGACAACGACAGACATCCAGGCATCTCCAGCACTCTATCAGGTGAGCTACAAACAAAAATGTATTGAGTCCAAGACAATATTTTCATGGTCTTGGTCTTGTCGTGGACTCAACCTATGTAGGTTTCGGCTTGGACTTGGTCCCCAAATGAGCTGGTCTCGACCACACTGTAGCGTACTACAATAGCACTCTTATTATTTCTGTAGTATGGATTAAAGTAAGCACATTACCAAAAATATTAGTCCCAAGTTTCTACTTTTAAACCTTCCAGATCATCTGGCCAAATTATAAGGTAATCAACAACAGTTCACTAATGCTATCTACAGATCTTGGTTATGCTTTATTTTTGGTTACACTCCCATTAGAGCATTAGTAGACTGTTAGGTTAGGGTTAGTAGAATAAGTTGACATGTACTTACAAAGTTACTTATAGTCAATAGTATGTCTGTTGAGGACCATCAGAATGAAGTGTTAGCAGATATTAATTAAGCAGACAGTCTACTAATACTCTAATGACTTCTAGTTGACATGTAGTTGCAAAATTACCTAGTCAATAGACATATAAGGAATCACATTAGGTATCAAAAGTGGCGAGCCATTCAGACTTTAAACTGAACGTCAACTTCTACAGGAAACAAACGGAAAGTGCGTCTCTATCAGTTCCTCCTGGACCTCCTGCAGGACGGAGACATGCGGGACTGCATCTGGTGGGTGGACCGAGAGCGAGGCATCTTTCAGTTCTCCTCCAAACACAAGGAGACACTCGCCAGCCGCTGGGGCCAGCAGAAGGGTAACCGCAAGAGAATGACCTCTATGACCTGCTCATGCCCAGTGAGGGTTAGGTTTAGGGTGCAGGTTCACACTTTTTATTAAAAATGTCACGTTTTAGCAAACTGGTTGCGAATTCTTATCTCATTTGTAAATTTTTTATTGATTTGGTCACGCCCCACTGAGGATTTTGTTTTGGGGTTCAGGTTCATACTTTTTAAATTAAAAAGTGTATGTTTTCGTACATACTGGCAAGTTGGTGGCAAATTCGTGTGAAATTCTACGACCTCATTCGTACGTTTTTGGTTGACCTGCTCACGTCCCACTGAGGGTTAAGTTTAGAGGTGCAGTTTCACTATTTTTATTACAAATCATATTTTTTTTTATTACCACAGATGTGTCCCAGCTCTGAGAGTTAGTGCACCCTCAGTGCTGGTGAATTTATACAAAATTGTGACTATATAAAAAAAACAAAAAACAAACTTGGACCGAGTTGGTTGATAGCATTCATTGCTTTGATTATATGAGTTCCTGTGGCAGGGTTAGCATAAGGAGCCACAGAAGCATTAAGGCAAGACTGATGATTGTTGATCTATCTCTACAGTATACTTTTGTCCCCCATACACTGTACCAGCGGTCCCCTGTCCCCCACTGCAGTAGTGATGATGAGGACCCCGGGGGACGCAGTCCACCCTTTGAGGTGTCCGAGGGTGAGGACGACAACGACAGACATCCAGGCATCTCCAGCACTCTATCAGGTGAGCTACAAACAAAAATGTATTGAGTCCAAGACAATATTTTCATGGTCTTGGTCTTGTCGTGGACTCAACCTATGTAGGTTTCGGCTTGGACTTGGTCCCCAAATGAGCTGGTCTCGACCACACTGTAGCGTACTACAATAGCACTCTTATTATTTCTGTAGTATGGATTAAAGTAAGCACATTACCAAAAATATTAGTCCCAAGTTTCTACTTTTAAACCTTCCAGATCATCTGGCCAAATTATAAGGTAATCAACAACAGTTCACTAATGCTATCTACAGATCTTGGTTATGCTTTATTTTTGGTTACACTCCCATTAGAGCATTAGTAGACTGTTAGGTTAGGGTTAGTAGAATAAGTTGACATGTACTTACAAAGTTACTTATAGTCAATAGTATGTCTGTTGAGGACCATCAGAATGAAGTGTTAGCAGATATTAATTAAGCAGACAGTCTACTAATACTCTAATGACTTCTAGTTGACATGTAGTTGCAAAATTACCTAGTCAATAGACATATAAGGAATCACATTAGGTATCAAAAGTGGCGAGCCATTCAGACTTTAAACTGAACGTCAACTTCTACAGGAAACAAACGGAAAGTGCGTCTCTATCAGTTCCTCCTGGACCTCCTGCAGGACGGAGACATGCGGGACTGCATCTGGTGGGTGGACCGAGAGCGAGGCGTCTTTCAGTTCTCCTCCAAACACAAGGAGACACTCGCCGGCCGCTGGGGCCAGCAGAAGGGCAACCGCAAGAGAATGACCTACCAGAAGATGGCCAGGGCCCTGCGCAACTACAGCAAGACCGGCGAGGTCAAAAAGGTCAAGAAGAAGCTCACGTACCAGTTCAGCAGCGAGGTGCTGAGGAGGATGACTACGGACAGGAGGCAGTATCATCACTGAAACTTCTGGACACAAAACATTTCCTTTAGATCCAGTGTCTCTTACCTACAATATTCTCAGATTCTCTCCTCTGCCATTGTTCTGCAGCAAAACATGTAATCTCAGGGATATGTAATATGTATAGGCAATATAGGGATATAAAATATTTGAGTAGCTGACAAATGGACATGGACAATAGACATTTTTAAGGTCAAAGTGTATGTATTTTTAAAAGAGTACATGCTTTCATGTTTTGATGCTGTAACTGGTCAGTTTTATTTTATGTTTTCTTTTTTCACTTTTAAATCGGCTTGATTTCACTATTGTTACATTTCAATTGTCCAGTGGTGTGACAAATTAACACCAGTTAATATAGTTATGAAAACTGCATGCATAATAATAACACAATTCACTTTTAAATTGTCTTGATTTCACTGTTGTTACATTTCAATTGTCCAGTGGTGTGACAAATGAATTTTAAAAGGTATAATATTTAATGTAGTCTCTTAGTTAATATGGTTATGAAAACTGCATGCACAATAATAATACAATTTTAATAATATAATTCTAATAATAATGTTACACTTATAATAATAACATGTTACACTTCAGGACGTTTAAATGTATTCAGCTATTTTGACACATTTTGACTTCCATATGCTTCATCCACACAAATTAGCAAAGCTTTAACTTATTTTATGCTAAAAATCTGTCTTTATATTATGCAGAGGCATCACATCGCTGAATAAATGAACCTGGAAGTCCTTCTTGAAAATAGCTTATTTACTTCCTGTTGGGTTCCTATAGCAACAAAGATCCTTAAGAGATTCAAGACTTAAAAAATAGATTTGTTGAGTCACAACCACTGATCTATATATATATATGTATATATATATATATATATATAGATCAGTGGACACATGTGATATAAACAGCCAAAAACTAAAACACAATTTAAATAGATAATTTTATGTCATCACATTTTTTTTTTCATTTAGCAAGGATGCATGAAATTGATCAAAAGTGACAGTAAAGACAGGTATATAATACTTATAATATTACAAGCAGTTATTTAAGTAGTAATAATGTTTCACATTATTGTATTACTGTATTTTTGATCAATGATCAAAGCCTTGGTGAGCATGAGACAAAAACACAAACAAATAAACAAATCTTACTAACCCCAAACTTTTGAGCTGTAGTCCAATGACAGTCATGCAGAAAGTTATATATGAACAAGAACTTTTTTCTTAGTTTTAGTTTTATGTTTTAGTATTATTATATATAGTATTATAGCCATCCTTTTGGTAGTTGTTAGAAAAACAGTTAATGAAGTGAAAGGTGGGAAAGATTTGGGCCTACAACAATTCTGGTAGCATTATTTGTCTATTTACTTATTAATTACATACTTCATATTAATTAGACAAGTACAGCATGGGGCAAGCATGCAAACTGGTTAATAACTACTATAATTCAGATGCAGTTTTAACGCAACTCTGATAAACCACATTTCTGTTTTTGTTTATGCAAGTCAGTTTCTCTATTCGGTCTGTCTCATTGTAATAATTTGCCATATTGTTAGGATTATAAAGTTAATGGTGATACTAATATATTTATATTATGAATTATATTTTGAATTACTTTATAAATAAAATATCTGGCAGACCATGATATGAATTGGCAATCCATAAAGTTCAATTTCTAGTAATTACAAGAATTGATGTCTAATCTAAAGAAGTTGCTCTATGCTGCCACCCAGGGGACCATGAACACACCCCACATACAACAACAAATGATTCACAGAACTTGATTTCATTGCTCTTTAGGGCTTTCCCAAAATTATTTTCATCAGAATTCGGTTTCTGTTTTTAATGGGGAAATAATTTGTGGGCAGGAAAATAAATAGAGAGCAAAAGAGAAATCTGTAAATGATAGCACTGTCTTTTGATTTGTGTATGTAGAGTTAAATAGAAACCGAAATGGGATTTGAGTACACAATATAAAAGACAATTCTAAAGGATTCACAAACTTTCAAGCAGCACTGTATACACAACATCTTCTTTGTTTGCAGTGATATACAAAATATTATCAAATATTTAGAAATATAAATGACAGAATTTCTAGTTTTATTGATTGTTTTTGTGGCAGATAAATACTTCTCTGGTAAAAAAAAAAAAAAAAAAAAAGATCTGAAGATCTGAAAGGATTGGACTGATTCATTAAAAAGGACCAGCTCCAAATCACACTTTATGTAAAAAAAAAAAAAAAAAAGATTGCTACCAACTACATTAGTTCAAAGCCTTAATTTTGTTGCTTCAGCTTTATGACTAATGAAAAACTGTAAAAACCTGTACCTAATGTAACGTGGTCCACATTTGCCCTGGATCACCTCCTTTGTCAGTTCCACAGCAGTGATGTCAGATTGAGGCACCTCAAACATGGGCTCCAGCAAGAGCTTCTCCTGAAAGACCAGAGATGACACACATCAGAGATGTACCTGAAGGATTTACAGCAGAGATGTTCAGTGCTGCTCCTGGAGTGACAGTATTTTGGAGTGTTTAACTCCAACCCCACCTAAACAAAACACCTCAAGCAGCTACTCAAGGCCTTCCAGACAGGAGTGTTGTGGTAAACTGCAGCTAAACTCCATAGGACTTTGGACCTCAAGAAGAAGTATCGGACATCCTTGCCGCATTTACATTACATGGTTCAAGTAACCTAATTCCGATTTATTCCTCCCATGTGGCACAGATCGGATATGACCAAAGAACAGGAAAAAGCGCATCGATTTTGATATGTGGAAATAAATCTGATATCAGTCGGATACATGCATTTGCGTCTGCCATATGAGGACAGATCGGATATTCCTGTCAATACAAGTCATATGTCATTGAAAAAGCCATGCTAGCAAATTATATTGACTCAGGTGGATGATTTTCCAGGTTAATACCAGCAGTTTTGCCAAGTCTGCGGCTTTCCTGCAGAATTGGGCTTATTTTAAAAAGTGAGTGAAGTGACGTGCGGCCAAGTATGGTGACCCATACTCGGAATTTGTGCTCTGCATTTAACCCATCCAAGTGCACACACACACAGTAGTGAACACACACACACCGTGAACACACACCCCGGGGTCTCACCTCACACAGTCATAGTCAAATGAATTATAGTGGCCTATGATTCATAGTCATAGGCCATGACTGCCCTAATGGTTTACACTGTTGCCATGGGTTGCTTTTTAGTGCATAGGTTAAAGCGATCTCGCCCCCATTTTTGACAGAGGGGGGGATCCCCACCACACGGGAAACCTGTGGAAAAAACATGATTGGGCTAATTTTGATTAGAAATTGGGCTGGTTTTGTTTCGCAACCCTGTTTCCGGGTCAGTATATCTACCCTGAGTTGTTTCGTAAGGTGTACAGTGTAAATGCAGATATCGGATATGGGTCACTTTTAAAAGAAGATGTATGCTGGTCTTCAGAAAAAATTGGATATAGTCAACAAATCGGAATTGGGCATCAAAAACAGCAGTGTAAATGTGGCATTACAGAATTCATGTCTAAAAGAATAAGACCACAAGGACGGACACGCAGATCTTGAATGAGGCTTTGATTCCTGTTATTTACCATGATGGAGCGGAGACCCCTGGCTCCTGTCTTCCGTTCCAGTGCAAAACGGGCGATTGCGCGTAATGCATCTGGGGTTACATTCAGCTCACACTGAAACAAAAAAAAACACAAAACCAGAAGATGACTAACTAGACTTAATACTGCCCTAGCAAGAACCACTAAGGAGTATGAAATATGGGTTACCATGGTGTACTTCGGGGGTGTCTGATCCGGCTCCTGGAGGGCTACTGTGTTTAGCTGAGCTGAGTTTAGCTCCAACCCTAATTAAACACACCTGAACCAGTTAATAAAGGTCTTCAGACTCACTAGAAACAGTTACACTTTCAGGCAAGTGCGTTGGAGCAGTTTGGAGCAAACACTGCAGGGTGTTGGCCGTCCAGGAGCAGGATTGGACACCCCTGGTGTACATGTAGCATGATATACATACTTTATCCATACTGAAGAGGGCCTGATACTGAGGGATCACTGCATTACGAGGCTCTGTAAGGATCTGCACCAGCATCTCTTCATCCAGACTGTGCAGTGGCACCACCACAGGCAGACGGCCCACAAACTCTGGGATCATGCCGAACTCGATGAGGTCCCGTGCTTCAACAAGCCGCAGGAGCCGGTCCTTTTCCTCAATCTCTGCCATTGCATCCACATCATTTCCTGAGCTGTTGGCCAGATCTGCAGCTGCTGCAGCTCGACGCCCTTTGCCCAGGTTAGAAGGAGTCCCAAAACCAAGATACTGCAGGGGACATCAAGAAAGTGTAACATACTGATAGTCAGATACATTATGAAGAACCAGTAAATAATTATACTGTAGAAAAATCACCTTTTCATTTTTCCTACAGCTGATGATCCTGTCCAGCCCATTGAAAGCACCTGATGCCACAAACAAAATGTTGGTTGTATCCACTTGTACGGTCTCTCCTCTCAACTTTCTGCTGTTCTTCTCTGGAACATTAACAATTGTTCCCTCAAGCAATTTCAGCAAACCCTGCACAGACAAACAGGAACATCAACATCCAAATAAATTACACAATGCAAAAAGGTTCAATTCTGCTGGAGCTTTCTGTTCTGCAGTGAATTACCACATTATTCTGTTTATCCTACTACTCGTTGCTGGTTTGTCCTACTTCACAGGTTGATCCTTCAACATTTTCTTTGAAGCGAGTACATAAAATCACAACAGCTAGCCACTGTGGTACCTCAAGGTTCGGTTCTTGGTCCGCTTCTCTTTTTGATATAAACTATACAGCTGGCAACATTAAGAAACATTTTTTATACCTTTTAAGTTTAACTGATCTATAACAATTCAACACACTATCATTATTCAGCTGGTCATGACAGTAACAACACCAGCTAGGTCAGCTATGAACCCGTGGGATAGTGTTTGATTACCAGTTGACTGTCACAGACTGCTTACTAGACTACCTGTTCATGCAGAGTCTCTTTAGCATCAAGATGAGACCCTTCCTGTCTTTCCTTCCTGTGCTTGTCATCTCAAATGCAGATTGCTGTAATGCTCTGTTGGTCCACCATCTGGCATGTGAAACCTCAACATGATTCAAAATGCTATGGTACATCTGGTCTTCAATGAACCTAAACACTTCTCAGTCTCACTGCACTGTTTGCTATTAGTTGCCCACATTGTCTGGATCTGTCAGGTCTAGATTCTGGCAAGTGTGCATCAGCCTTTATTACGGATCCTTTTGATTTATGTTAATTTTCATATTAAAGCCTGTGATTTACAGTGTTTTCTAACCATGTACAATGCAAAAACTTTCCAGAGACAACTTTCCAAGTCTGTCCACAGTTCCAGTTAGGGTCAGTTCATCTAGTCCAGAATTTGTTTGCTGGACCATTTCTATTTTTTTCCTTTTTTTTCTTCCTTTCTTTTCTTTTTTTCTCTCTTTGTTAAATTATTACCTCTACTGTATGTATTGGTATTGGAAAACCACCTTTCTTATTTTATATATATATATATATTTTTTTTTTTAGGCCGGCTTTGTAACAAATGTACAAATTTGTTACACCCAAATTTAGAAACCTCTATATCTCAGCTCAGGAGTTCCTTGGAACAAAACTAATCTCACCAGTGCTTTTCAAGGTTAAACATAGTCAAGCCACTTGCGATAGATTAACCCTTTAAACTATATTTATGTGGAAGAGAAATTTTATGACCAACTGACCAAAAAAAAATTCCTGTCATTGTTCAATGTGCTCGCAGCTCCTTAGATTTATATGAACACAATGTGGTTTATTCAACTCACGAGTTATTCAACTAACTAATATCTACTTTAAAAATTGCTGCACTGTTACACAAATTTGTGCATTACTTGTACATCATTAATTGTAAATAAATTACATAAATATCTATTCAACAATTCTGATTGTACGTTCAGGCAGCAGCCCTGATAAGAGATTTACAGCCGTGTAAAGTAGTCCATTAGGCCAGTAACTCTGTGTATTGGCAGTGACAGAATCATAGAGCTCTGGGAAAGATGAATGTGGCTGAAATATAATCACAGACCTGCTGAACTCCTTCGCCCCCGACATCTCTCAGCTGATGAATTCCAGGCACACTGCCAATCTTATCCACCTCATCCAGGAACACTATGCCTGCAAGAGAATGACAAATGAATGATAAATCACAGACCTCCAAACAGACAGGGTTAATTTTTAAAAATAGTAAGTTCACTTAGAAAGAGGAATCAAAATGTTTCAGTGAAATGTTCAAAGGTCAAGCATGGAGGCGTTTTATATCAGTCAACTTCTGTTCCTCGTAATGAAAGATTACGACATTGATTTATTTTTTTTATTTATTTTTTTATTGAACAGAACATAAATTAACAGCAACACCTAGACATAGTAACTTATACATAAGAAGAAACCAGTGACGGATATATACACACACATACAAGAAAAGAAAAAAGTGCAAACTGTAACTCGACTGTTGTGATCAATAAAGTCTTACTGGCTTCAAAACCTCTCTAGCATTTTATTTTGAACAAGGAAAATTCTACAACAAAAAAGACAAAAAAAAAAACAAACAAAAAAACCCCACAAGCTATAGATGGATGAGGTAGTTTAAACAGGAACAGAGGTAAGTTAAATCCATAGTTTCATGAATTGTAATAGAAATTATTATTATTAATTAAATTTCCTTGTGTTGTTGTGGGAAAGATGCGGACAAGATATGCCAGTCAGGTCCACCGACAGAACTAAAGCGGCCGCCAGACCCAGAGAACTTATAAGTTATTTAAATTATAGGAATTAATATATAATGATTGTGGAATTGTTTTTATAGCTGAGGGAAGAATGAAAGAGGCCAAATTGTTCTATAAAAATATAAATATCAATACTATGACCACTACTACCTCCACCACCAATAACAACAATAATAGCAATAATAATGGTAATAATGTGATAATGGTAATAAAGTATCTAAAAAAGAAATGAAACAAATTATAGCATATAGGACAACCACGTAGTCAATTATCATATTATAGCTATCATATAATTGATATAATCGCATTGTCAATTACATTTACACATACATACATACACATTATATTCATCTATAAATAATTGTTGAACAATATATTAAATAATATTCAGGCTTTATTCATCTATTGTAGAAGCAGTTTGTATTTATATGCCATAAAACTTGATTGAGGAATCAGCTCACCAGCTAGATTTAATCAATATTTAAGGATAAGAGCAGTGAGCTGAAAATTGTATTAAATCTGAATAACTGGTTTTGTGTTTCTGATGTGTGTTTTTCTTAAATGATATGTTCCCTTAACAGATGTAGCCATTCTGTAATTGATATTTGGAATTTATTTTTCCAATTAAGTAATATTGTTTTCTTGGCGATAGCTAGAGACATGAGTAAAAGCACTGAATATTTAAAAGACAGGTTGTGGTTTTAATAGAATTCCTGATTTGTAGGTACTAATAATACTGTTCTTTTCCTAAATTAAATTTCTGCATTAATTCTGCAAATGTTGACGTGTGGTATGAGCTCATGACTTATCAATGCATTAATCTGCCACCAAGCAGTGAGAGTTATTATAATCATCAAACTCTTAAAGAGATTTTGTTGTTTGATTTTTTGGTGAGTGATGGAAGATCGGATATGGTTATTCTTTACATTCTGCTTGTTCTAACTCTAGCCACGGGTTTTGGATAGTGTCATATCTGATCCATTTGCAAATATACTGTAGATGAGATGCTAAGTAATAGTGTAGAAAATCTGGTCTGAGCTTTATTTTTTTGAAGTTTTTGTAAACTTATTTTAGGGTTCTTGTTTTTCCAGTAAAATTTGCTTATTGTTTGATTTAATTATGTAAACTTTCCTGTACAGCCAACTAAATTTCTTAGTTGGCTGTACAGGAGTCATGGTGAATAAGTAAAGGACTTCTGGTAGTGTTCACATTTTAACTGCAATTCGACCTTTAATGGAAAGTGGTAGGTTCATCCATCTAGTTAAGTCGTCTTCTATTGTTTTTAACAGTTAAATTAAATTAGGTTAAAAAGGTTAAAGTCTTGTTAAGTCTGAAAGGTTCTGGGAAATGTTTATTCCTAAGTATTAGGGTTGGAACGGTTCGCGGAAAAAAATCGAACCGAACAGTTCTCCACACACGGTTCGGCACGCGCTAGGACCGCGGTTCAACTTAAATCTGACAACACATCTGTAATATGGTTTGCTATAAATAACACGTAAAACAAACAGGGTTCGGCTAATATATGTTTCTGTTGATGGATGCGCATTCTGGCTTCCCAATACATTACAACAACAGCGATGAAAAAAAAAAAGTGGACAAACCATTCACTCTTGTTCAATGCGAATGCCGTATGCTGGAATATGAGCATTTATTCCGTCATCACCCGGGTGCTGATAGCGCGCGCACACAGGTGAGACCTGAACAGCACACGTTATCTGTGTTTAAGCTAAACTCGTTCAAGCATTGCTCATTTAAGCTTTTGTAACTTTAAATAAAGCTTAATCTTTCATTTATACAGTCAAATATGCAATGCTGTTTTACATTTCATTACTTTATTCAATTTCTATACCTGAAAACTAATGTTAGACCTACCTAAAAAAAACTTTAAATCACTGTTTATTTTATTTGTATCTTTACTCTATTGTATTTATTTGTGCTGTTGCTAGTAGTTAGATAGATTATTCGTATTTTCTTTAATTTTTATTTGACAGTATAGTTTTTGCCTAAACATAGCACATACCGAACCGTACCGAAACTGTGACTCTAAAACCGTGATACAAACCGAACCGTGAGTAAGTTGAACCGTTCCACCCCTACTAAGTATGCAATATTATTTATTGTGAATGAAGTGTCCTGTATACTAGTGTCATGTGGATTCATGTTCAGTGGTAAACTTGTTGATTTGGTCCAGTTTATGGAATAGTCTGATATAGTAGAATATATGTTGATGAGTTTAATTATTTCTGAAAGTGATGTTTTGGGATTTTGTAGAAAAAGTAATATGTCATTTGCATATAAGGACATTTTATGATTAGTATTGTGTGATAAAACTCCAAAGATGTTATCATTCTGTCTTATTGCAGCAGCAAGAGGTTCTATAAATAAAGCGAAGAGTAATGGAGATAAGGTCCCTCGCTGAACCTGAAATGGTGACGATATTATGCCATTTGTTATAAAAGATGCTAATGGTGTATTATATAATGTTATAATCCAATGGATAAAGGAATCTCCGAACCCAATTTTTTAAAGGGTTAGTTCACCCAAAAATGAAAATTCTGTCATTAATTACTCACCCTCGTGTCGTTCTAAACCCGTAAGACCTTCGTTCATCTTCGGAACACAAATTATGATATTTTTGATGAATTCTGAGAGCTCTCTGACCCTCCCATAGACAGCAAGGGTACTACCACGATCAAGGAACTGAAACGTAGCAAGGAGATCGGTAAAATAATCCATGTGACATCAGGGGTTCAACCGTAATATTACGAAGCTACGAGAATACTTTTTGTGCGCAAAAGAAAAAAAATAACGACTTTATTCAACAATTCGTCTCCTCCGCGTCACCCTGGTGCCATTTTGAAGAATATCCACTGAACGCAAACAGCGTATGCTATTCGGTGTCAGCCGCACCACACGGGATAGGTTGTTTTCGTTCAAATCAAAGTGTAAACAATAGGGGTGCTCCGATCAGGATTTTTGAGGCCGATCATCGATCGCCTATCACAGAACCTGCCATCTAGTATTGCCTTGTTTATCTAAAAGTGCTCTTTCCTTTTAAACCTAGTCAAAAAGCCATATGTGTTGACTGTGAAGCACAGTAGACTTTAGTAATATGCATTTATGGTGTAATTACTACATTTTCGTGTTAATCCATCTTCATATTTACTGCAAAAATGCGCTGTTACTTTAATTCAGCGCTTGCAGCGCAGCAAAAAAGACTCGGTGCGGAACGCACTGCCGCAGCAACGGTGTGCAGTGTGCGCGCTTTATTAATCTGTTAACATGAGCGCGGAAAAAATACGTGCCACATTCGCACTGCAAACGGAGTAATGTGAACCTGGCATTATGTGTGTGCACTGCGAGTGTCTCCAGGAGAGGGAATGGTGCTGAATGGTTAAACACTGGCAAAAATTAAAAAGTAATGCAATTTATAAACTTTAGTGACGACGCGACACTGCCTCGATTGTGCAAGTGACAATTCCTGTGTCTACTGCGCAGTGTGCAGCTCGGTTATAGACAGACGTGATGTGATTATTTGAAGTCATTTGCATATTTTGAGAGAGCGCGTGTGCGGTCATTCACTCTCGCTGTTTGTTCAATTACGTCTCACACAATGTTTTCAAATTACTTTATAAGTTATCTAATGAAGAAATATGAAGGTGAGTACCTCACCTTCAGCATTATAATGATTTCACCCGCGTCGGACAGAGACTGAGACGGTGCCGCTGCATGTCGTGCCAAACCTCTCATGGCAGCGTCATCAGCTTGAGATCGTTTTTTTGAGATCGGCCTCTTTAGAGACCGCCAATCGATCATCCCAACGTGATTATCGGCCGATAGTGATTGGTAGCCAATCAATCGAAGCACCCCTAGTAAACAACGTAGAAAAGTATCCGCGTGACGCAGCTGACACAGAACAGCATAAGCTGTTTACGTTCAGTGGATATTCTCCAAAATGGCACCAGGGTGGATGAGACTAATTGTTGAATGAAGTCATTATTTTTGTTTTCTTTGTATACAAAAAGTATTCTCGTAGCTTTGTATAATTGCGGATGAACCACTGATGTCACATGGATTATTTTACATTATTTTACGTTTCTGGACTTGGGAACATTTCAGTTGCATTGCTGTCTATGCAGGGTCAGACAGCTCTCAGATTCCATCAAAAATATCTTAATTTGTGTTCCGAAGATGAACGAAGGTCTTACGGGTTTAGAACGCCACGAGGGTGAGTAATTAATGACAGAATTTTCTTTTTTGGGTGAACTATCCCTTTAAGTGTTGTATGAAGAAAGTACCAATTGACTTCATCAAAAGCCTTTTCTGTGTCCAGTTATACGATTATTGTTTTTTTCTTGTTTTGTTTCCATAGATTCATTATATTGAATAATCGTCTGGTATTGTTTGATGACTGGCAGCCTTTAATGAAACCTGTTTGGTCCGGATGGATGAGGGATGAGATTACTGATTCAAGACCAGAGTGGCCAAAGCTTTACTTATTATTTTTAAATCTGTATTAATAAGAGATAATGGGCGATAACTAGTGCATAATGTTGGGTCTTTATTTGGTTTGAGTAGAATTGTAATTAGTGTTGTGTTCATATGAGCTGGAATAGAAGAAGTACTTTTAAGTCATTTGCATGAATAATGGTGATATATTTGACCAAAAGTGTTTATAAAATTCTGGTGGGTATCCATCTAAACTTGGGGCTTTAGAGTCGAGAGTCTGTTTATAATCAATTTCTGATATAGATTCATCTCATGATCTCTTTGGGTTGAGGTTAAACTGGGTAGAATTCTATTGTTAAGGAATGAATTAGTGTCTTTGATTTTTGGGTCTTTGTCATTACTGTACAGATGTTTATGTGGAGTGTCTTCCCTTCTGGGTTCTTAATTACAGGAATTAGTGTTTTTATTTTCTATTACGTTTGAGTAAATTAGCTAGGTATTTATCTGATTTGTTTTCATGTTCAAAATGTTTATATCTTAAACATCGGTTTATTTATAATATCTTCATAATCATCTTTTGTTTTATTCATCTCCTTTAAAGTCTGTTCATTGACATTATGAGAGTAAATATTGTGTAATGTGTGTATTTGATTTTCTAGCTCTTTTTCTAGTTTTTGTTCCTTTTTGTGTTTAGATGTAGAGTATGATATGATCATTAAAGTCTCTCTCTTTGAGTAGTGATGTATTCATCCTCCATCTAAATGATTTTTTTGTAACATCTGTATTATTGAGAGTTATAGTGATTGGAGCATGGTCGGATATGATGATAGGGTTAATTGTTGTATTTAAAATGTCTGGAATGAGGGAGTTGCTTGTGAAGAAATAACCAATAAGCGGATATGATTTATGGCATTGCTTATTAAATGACAATGTTAAATATAGGTGGGGTGGCATTGTTTTAGTGTGCAGTAGGGTGCTTGCTTCATAGGAATGCAGAACATAAATGTACAAAGTTGCAGAATTTGTTCTTCAGTCTGGCCATCTTCAGCTCCGTGAAACCACTGGTTACTATAGTAAATTGTGGGGTTTTTTTCTAAGATGAAATGCATGAAATTGTGAAGTCTGAGAGTCTAACCTTGCTGCGCTTTCTCGACTGAATAGTTGGCGTCCTGCAGAAGTTTGGCAATAACAGACTCTATGTCCTCGCCTACATAGCCCGCCTGCGTCAGGGTGGTACAGTCGCAGATGGCGAAGGGCACATCCAAGCATTTAGCCAGGGTCTGGGCCAGCAGAGTTTTACCTAGGAATGTCAACAATACATCTTTTGACAGTCATGTCAAAATATTTCAGAATACAATGTTTCAATATGCATCAAAATAATCAAATATTAACATTTCATTCAGTTGACTCATTTTTAATTTAAGCATCACACAGACTATTTTGTATTGAAAATGTAACACTAGTTTTGTGGTTTTCTCTCATAAAAATTTGAATATGATCACCTTCTTGCGGTTCTGTCTTTAATACTAATGCTAACATATCCTAAAAAGATAAATCACACAAATAAATGGCCGGGACATACTTCAAAAAATCTAAATTAAAACAATTAGATTTTTTGGCATTATTTTCAAGACAAATAAAAACACTTTTCTCGTAAAACCACAAATTGTTTGTTAAATTGTCATGAAAATATTGTAAAAATAGGAAAAAAAAAAACCTTAATAGTATTAAAAATAGGCTCCATTTTCATTCTGGAAAAAAATTATTAATGTTTCAAAAAGAAAAAAAAAAACCCTTTTTGGGGTGAAATATGAATTTCTAAGTATTTTTCACGAGGTTGACCCAAAAATATCGATTGGATAAAAATGTATCAAAAGCCGTTCATGTTTAGGCAGCTGGCAATTTAAATTGTAAATGGCAGATCCACATCTCTTTGGGATGCCAGCAAGAATACACCAAATCTTATTGGTGTGGAAAACCTGTACTAACCTGATCCAGTAGGTCCCAGCAACACAATGTTGCTCTTTTCCAGCTTAATATCAGTGTGGGCGGAGTCAAGCACGTCCCTGCCCCTTTTGTCTTGAGGAGCTTGCTGATTGGTCTGCTGCTGCACAGACGCACCCAGAGCGTTGCCATTGGGACTGATGCCAGCGATCTGAAGGAGGTCTGAGAAATAAAAGCGGAAACACCAGATCTCGTTATTTAATTAAACATGAAAAAGCAACATGACTCCACAGGAATTTTGCAGTCAAAGCCGCTTTTGCCCGGAACCCCTGAGCGCTAAATCTCTAAAAATATGAAATATCCACACACAGATTTTGCTTCCTCTACTTTCAGTCAAGTGTGGAGTGTGCTATTTGTTTTTAGAGGAATAGTTCCGGAACTTTCAGCACGTTAAAAAAAACAAAAAAAAACAGCATTATGGACATTCTACAAAATATCTAAATTCATTCATTATTAATTCTGGGTGAACTATTGCTTTAATAAAGTTTCTAATTTCAAAACCATTTCTCATAAATTCACAGTTAAGCTACTTTTATACATAAGCTTACTCACAGCTTTATTTCATATCTCAGGATCTAAGTTGGGCTAGTGGTCACTACTGCGCAAACCATAATTATGTCATCAGAAGGCCTAGTTTCCAAGCCCTGTCCAGTATGAGCTATAAGGACAGAAGCCCCAGTGTGAAATCTGAAAGGCCAGAGACCATGAGAGCCGTGACTAGGTCATTGTAACACTTTATCCAACTTTTTGGAGGTCAGCGACGAACCCAACTGATCCTGAAGTGCCCCACACACAAGCACAGAGGGTTGATATGCGTATACATAAACATGGAGTCATGTTGTGCCTGCAAATGTCACTGTTTGTCCAACATATCAAATATATCTGGCCATCAGAAAGTGAAAATGTTTCCTCTGTTGGGTTATTCTACTCTATGTGAAAGTGAAGTACATAAAACAGCCACTTACTTGTAAACCTGTATTCATCTTCACGTCTTCTGATCTCTAACTCTACGGAGAAAAGGACAGTTAACTTAGCATGCTGACTACATCTAACGCCACAAAATGAGTTGTGTAACAGTAACAGCAGGGGAAAGTTCAGATCATTACGCTGACTCTAGCTTTAGGAGCCTAAAATACTCTGGATACACTAATGGAAAAAAGCCAAACCCTCAAATGACTCCACAGATCAGTGAGCTGAAGAACAGGGAAGGTATCTGTCATAAACTACCATTCAAACCTTTAGGGTCAGTAGGAATTTTTTTTTTAAGAAATTTTTTTAAAGAAATTTTTTATTCTTTTAAATTGATTAAAAGTATCATTATAAAACGGAGAGTTCCGGTGCTTGATTCTGATTATCCGCTTCGCGTCGTGCCTAACAACGCCCCTTAGCTGTTATAAATTCACTGTAAACCACGGCTTCTTGGGGATTATTGCTTTAGTAAAGACTTTTTAGTTTTCAAAATATGAAGCAGCACAACTGTTTTCAACACTGATAATAATCAGAAAAGTTTCTTGAGCAGCAACTCAGAATATTAGAATGATTTCTGAAGGATCATGTGACACTGGAATAAATTACATTCTACTATATATTAAAATAGAAAACAGATTAACTTGCAATAATATTTTGAGTTAATATAATAATAACTTTTGAGTTAAAGCCAGTTTGAAATGATTCATAGAAACCATCAACTTTCAAAAGAAAAGTTGAAATCATAAATAATGTGTCAAACGAATCTAAAGATACAGTGTTTTGGAAAGCTAGCAGCCAAATAAAATGTCTGTTAAAATTAGAAATCGACCGATATATCGATTTACCGATATTTTTCCTGATATTTTTGTTGCTGTTGATGCTTTTTATAAATAAAAATGTTTTTTATTGTTGTAATATGAAGATTACATTTAACATGAAAGACTGCTAATTTTCAACACTTTTTTTTTTTTAAGATGGCTGAAAGGAGGAAAAACCAAAGTGAAGTATGGACTTACTTCACTCAGTCATTTATTTACTTTATAACAGTAAATAAATATCAGTTCTGCATATCGGTTATCGGGCACATAAACATGCAAATAATTGGTATCGGTTATAAAAAAATCAATATCGGTCGATCACTAGTTAAAATCCTTGCAATATTACCTATGTTGCTTAAGCTTACATCATCTGAAAAATCAGCGTGATTATATTTATTATGATTTTTGTTGGCGATCCAAAATCAAGCAACAAGGTGAATTCATTATCCTGTATCATTATATTGGTGCATTTAAATGAAAATGATTACATTTTACATATTCTTGTGCTCATTCACCAAATAACAAGGTGGAAAACATTTTAACAAGACCTGTACAGCTTGATTATTAGTATATTTTTTCATACATACATAATTTTAGGCCATTTCAGAGCATATAACTGTTGAGATATACTGAATCCTGTTGAAAGACTAAAATTAGTGATAACATTTTACAGTAAGGTTTGTTAACATTAGCTACCAAAGGCAATGAACAACATTTTTTACAGCTGTAAACAGCATTTAGGTAATTATTTTATTAATAAATGTGACCCTGGAGCACAAAAGCAGTCTTAAGTCGCTGGGGTATATTTGTAGCAATAGCCAACAATACATTGTATGGGTCAAAATTATTGATTTTTCTTTTATGCCAAAAATCATTAGGATATTAAGTAAAGATCATGTTCCATGAAGATATTTTGTAAATTTCCTACCGTAAATATATCAAAACTTAATTTTTGATTAGTGATATGCATTGCTAAGAACTTAATTTGAACAACTTTAAAGGTGATTTTCTCAATATTTAGATTTTTTTGCACCCTCAGATTCCAGATTTTCAAATAGTTGTATCTCAACCAAATATTGTCCGATCATAACAAACCACACATCAATGGAAACCTTATTTATTCAGCTTTCAGATGATGTATGTATAAATCTCAATTTTAGAAAATTGACCGTTATGACTGGTTTTGTGGTCCAGGGTCACAAATGTCAGATTATGATACATTACAAACCTCTGGGAGAGAGGGGACTCTGTTTCTCTGTTTCCGCTTGCTGTCGGCCTGCTGCCGGGAGGTTGTTGTAGATCCGTTTGTAATGATTATAGACGGCAACTGCCAACACTTTCTTGGCGTATGACTGGCCAACAACGTATTTGTCGAGGTAGGCATAAATCTAAAGAGGTGGAGACAACAGAAGCCCACAACAGTGAGCAGATGTTTACTGCATTTCTAAGAACGGACGTCACAGGGTTAGCTTTGAGTAGTTTACTTGATCTAATTACACAAAGATGAACTGAAGTTAACGTAATAACATCTGGATGGTGTGATGGAATCGTACCTTTTTAGGAGATGGAGGGTGTTTCTGAGCTAATGCATATTTAACATGCTCCGAGCTCTCCGCTTCCTTATTCAAACCCTTCTTAGAGTCCGTCTCAGACAGAACCACGAAGAAATGATGGCACTTTTCACATTTCACAAACCGTGTGGAGGCTGTGTGGAGCAAATACAAGACAGTTGTTCAGGCAATGAAATAAAGTTATTAGCATTTGCAAATCTTGGAAAGGGAACATTTCTTTATGACACAGTTTGAGCAGTTAATATAGATCATATATCATACTGATTCTCCATTACGCTTGACTGATCGCACAGACTCAATTGGACGAGAGCTGAACTGGATGATGACATCACTGAATCATCAATGAACTGACTTTAGCTGAAAAATGATTCTGTTAATGTCTTCTTGCATTACTGACAAACTATTTTCCTGTTTGACTCTGTGAAACTGCTTTGACACAATCAGTATTATATAAAGCGCTATATGAATAAAGGTGACTTGACATTAGTTTTGCTTCAGGATCCAGATCTTACTTTGGGCATCACGTTTTGACACAAAACACAATATTGTACAAAAAATGTAACAAAATGCCCAGGTCAATGACGTGACATTCATTCTTTCTCCTACCTATTATTTATTAAAAGTTACATTTTATTTATGAATTGCATTTTAATGACTTGAATACACCTAATTTCTGAATTAAAGATGATTTATATATTTTTGATATGTTTTTTATATTTTGTATTTTTGTGGAAAAAATTTTAAAAATATCAGGATGATATAATTGTTCTGAAATCATAATGAAGGGGAAAAATAAATAGTATCTAATCTTTTGTAATTATTTTTTAGACAAAAAAATATTTAAAATAACACATTTTAACAAAACTTCTTCACCGTTTATTAACATCTGACAAAAAAAAAAAGTATGCCAAATCAAAGTCATGATCAACAAAATCATGTGGTGCATCCAACATGTTGTTTTTATGAATGAATAATTCATGACATTTGTAAAAAAAACAAAAACAAAGAAAAGAACAAATAACTAACTAAATAAATAACATTTTCCTTGAAAATAAATATTGAAAAAATAGTAATGGATACACTTTTTTTTACTTTAAAAATATTTAAAAATAGCAAAGAAAATCTATTAAAAATAGCATAAACATTTTTCAAAACCATATAAAACCAACAAGAATACAAAAAAAACAATATATATATATATATATATATTTATATATTTTATTTTATTTATTTATTTTTTTTTTTCTTTTCTTTTAAGAATTTGGCAAATGTGCTTTAAACTGGATTTTTCCTTTCTTTTAAAACCTTTTTCCTTTTTTTTTAATGGCACCATTGACAATTCCGTAAATTCCGTGAATGTTCTTGATTCCTCTAGTTATTATTAAAACCTAAGATAATGAACATTAAATACTGGTCAATGGAAAGAGAGATACTTACACACTAAAGTCTCCACGTGTGTACAAGGATCTCCACATTTCGGACATCTCAGTTGACTGCCACCTTTCCCTGAACCTGCAGCGCCTGACGCCCGCTTTCCACCCGCCTCACCCGCACCCTTCTGCAAAACAGCACAGTCAACAACGATCAATATCTTATACATTAAACAAGCATTCAAGTAAATGTAACAAACAGACTGAAATGCACCTTTCCGCCATCGCCGTCTCTGGGTGTGCTGTCTTTAGAGGAGAAACACACAGCTGTCTGTGAAAACGATCTCACGCGCACAAACGGAGGAAGATGAACTTCATCACACGCTGCTCTAGTGTGGCTGAAGAGCTGAACACGTGAACGGGAAAAACCTGCCAGAATATAATACCAAACTATTAAACCAGCTGAATTACATATGATGGACTCACATTTCGGCCGGAAGCGAGGTTTAGAGTTCAACACGTCTCAATGATGGATTTGTTTCTTACAAACATGCAGCTTTTTGCTTAACAAGACATTAATTGATGGACTGTGATGTTTTCATCAGCTGTTTGGACTCTCATTCTGACGGCACCCATTCACTGCAGAGCATCCACTGGTGAGCAAGTGATGCAATGCTACATTTCTCCAAATCTGATGAAGAAACAAACTCATCTACATCGTGGATGGCCTGAGAGTGAGTACATTTTCAGCTAATTGTCATTTTTGGGTGAAGTATGCCTTTAAGTATGTATTATTTCTGTAATAAGCACTCTTTTAATAGCACGTTTAAGTGCACTTCTTTTACTATTGTTTTACACAGCATGGTATGTGAATATGATAATTACAACACCATCAGAAGCCATTACTATACACTGTCCTGATCATAAAACCATAACAGTCGCGAAAACAAATAAAAATTAAATCAATAAAAATGAGACCTTATTAATAAACACCAGTAATACTGTGATGTAAACATTGGGCTCAATGAATTCATGAAAGAATTATAATAATAAACACTGTCTGATAGTTTATGTTGTGTTGGCAGCTCTGTGGCCATTGTAGGAATGTTACAACTTTCGAGCATGCCGTGATATTTAACATCCGGGAACTGAACAGTTAAGTTAGTATTTGATTATTTTTTGGAAAACAAATAATAACATTCTTGGGAAATTTTAAGTACCATGAAGTAACTACGGTGGCCGAGAAGTGCAGAGCAAGTCACAATTCTGAAAACAAAATAACAAATTACAAATGCAAATGCAAGTCTAAAAAACAAAATAACAATTCAGAAAGCACAACAACAATTTAAAAACATTATAACAAGTCAGAAAACACAATGACCAATTCGAAAACAAAATAACAAGTCAGAAAACACAATGACAAATTTGAAAACAAAATAACAAGTCAGAAAACACAAGGAGAAATCCGAAAACAAATTAACAAGTCAGAAAACACAACGACAAATCATTCAAACCGGAAGAGGTAGGTATAGTTTGAGACTGCGCCATTGGTTTGGGATTACTCACCGCTGACTGGACGAGACATCTGTCAATCAACGTATACAGGAAGAACCAGCCGAAGAACAGCAGTCGTGGTAGAAAGTTCGGAGATGGTATTAAAGTAGCTCAGTTTAAATGTATTGTATGAATTGCCCTTACTATGGAATAAAAAATACGGGGTGTCTATTTACATTTAGTTAAAAGTGGCTGTAAATCATCAGCTCCAGTGGCGCAGCTGGATAAGCATGTGTCGTTGGCTTTTTGACGCGATCGACCCGGGTTCGATCCCACCTTTTGCCGAACTTTTTTTTTCTCCCTTTTCAAATCTCGTATCACATCGTAAAGGCATTTATTTTCAATGTTGATTGGCCTCAGTGCTGGGGGATGGTGTCTTGTAGTTGGTGATGTCTTTCAGGCCTTTCCACACTGATGCAGGCTCATTGGCAAAAAACTGGTGTTCTAGCTTTTTAGCGTAGAACACCCGCTTTTCAGAATTGTGATTTGCTTTGCACTTCTCGGCCACCGTAAGTAACGTCCCCAAACCATTGCACTAAGGATTTTTAAGACAAAAACTTCCCTTAAACAAGTAGGTTTTGGGAACAACAAGACCAGAACCTTCTGAGAAATAAAAACTGTTATCTGGGCTGCTGATAAGAACCCACGTCGAATGTAATGTTACTGTAACAGTTATTCAGCTTTTTAATTGAGTGTTGATAGTTCGCTCACCTTTATGAACTGACTTTATAATCACCCTCACTGCAGGTCTGCATGAACAGGACATATTTAAAACCAAATCTGATGGAAAAAAATAATAAAATACATATTACATACACACGTACAGTACGTTACTACATACATACTGCCACTAAAAATGAATAAAGTTGGAAAGTGCTGTCAGATATAATTAGTAACTGTCATATATGATCTAAACTGAAAATAAAAAGCAAGAATACATGTATTAGCGTTATGAAATGCAGTAGCGCTCAGCTACACATGCGCTACTGTCAATGATGGCAGACATGTTTAACTTACTGGAACTGTGTCCGAGTTTCCTCTGAAGCAGTTTTGTCTTCCAGTAAGCGGCTCTAACAGCGGGGTCTGAGAGGAATAAAAGCTTGAAGCGGTTTCATGCCGGTGTCAGTGTCTGCTGCTCTCAGAAATGATGTTAGATGAAGTTTAGTGTTGATCAGTGTGATGTGATATAACCTCTGCTGTCATGAAGTGAGTCAGCGTGACGTACATGGCCAGATAGAGCTCTGTTTGTGTCACGTGACACCGAAGGGGCGGGGCCGTCGATCGGCAAACTTTATTGGCTGTTTCCTGTCAGACATAAAGGGCGAATCCCAAACGTACGGTGACCGAAAAGTGCAAAACAAATCACAATTCTGAAAACAAAATAACAAATTACAAACGCAAATGCAAGTCTAAAAAACAAAATAACAATTCAGAAAACACAACAACAATTCAGAAAACATTATAACAAGTCAGAAAACACAATGACAAATACGACAACTAAATAAGTCAGAAAACACAACGACAAATCCGAAAACAAATTAACATTTCTACTATCAAGTTGTTATAATGTTTTCTGAATTGTTGTTGTGCTTTCTGAATTGTTATTTTGTTTTTTAGACTTGCATTTGCGTTTGTAATTTGTTATTTTGTTTTCAGAATTGTGATCCGTTTTGCACTTCACGGCCACCGTACAAACGGCTATTTTGCGCTCTTGAAGGGCACTTCGGGAAGAGTGTCGCCTTTTAAAAGTGAACAACTGAATCCCTTCATGAAGGGCCCTTCCAGAAGTCCGTTAGCGAAGGGAGCATGCAATGGCCACTTCACGGAAGTGATTTCCGTTTGTGATCATGTAAACTTCGGTTAGGAGATCTTGTGATGCTTTTTAATACAAACGTAAATAGAATAGGCTAATTAAATGTCTATTTTAATGTAAAAAAACAAATTTCCGTCAGTGATATGATTTAAGATGGTAGTGCAAGCAAGTTTAGTTTGAAAAAGTGTAAAAGTAAATAAGATACAATTAGACAATATTTGAATAAAATAATAATAATAAATAATTATTTGCAACAACTGATGGAGTACTGAATGCTGCACGCACACACAGCGTTGTCAAGGTAACATTTGGTCAGTAATTCCCTTTCGCCGAGGGAGTTCCAAACGCTTATATTAGACAGTAATGCCCTACACCCTTCAAAGAACACACTTCAAGGGCTCTGCTCTTCGAGGGGAGTAGGGCATAGGGATGCTAACTTCCGTTTGGAATTCGCCCAAAGTGGTTTGTGGCTAGAAGGGATACAGCTACTGCCGGAAGTTAAGAGTAAATTAATTTTTCTACCAATTAGATTGTGTTTTGTTAACGTCTACACTTACCCCAACCCTAAACCTACCCCTTACAATAATGCAAATACAGTAATTATAGTTGTGACGCTATATTGATGTGCGCATGCCCAGTAGCCGCAGCTGTATCCCTTCTAGCAGTTCCTTCAGGGGACGCGAATTACAAACAATCGTGATTGGTTCTTTGCTATCAGCGCACAGAAAAGTAACAGGTGCAACGTGAGAGCACCATTAACGTCAACAATAATGATCGCCTACAGTAAATAACAATACTGACCAATGCATTGAATTGAAACAAGTACAGTGAGGAGTTAAAAAAGGAGAATTGTTATTTAGAGCTTTAGACCTGGGGGTTGAGCACGTGACTCTTCTTCTGGAGCTGTTTTCCGCCGCACGTTTTCTGTTTTAATGTATTCAATGTATTTCTTGATTTCCAATATTGTTTGTTACTGTGATATTTTTTAATTATTTATATTAATATTTAATAGAAATAACAATATCAGTATTTAATATCAATTATATTTGAATATATATATATATATATATATATACTGTATATAATTTTTATTTGGCATATTTATGTCAGATTCCTCATCTTTGTAGGTTTTTAAAAAATAATCAGAAAATATTTCTGACAATAATGGGAAATAAATTATGAAAAAATAAATTTATCATACGAAATGACAAAACATATTTTATTAAAATCATGCTTGCCATGCAACAAACAAATATAAATCATCAATAATCATTGCATTACCACAACTCAGAAGAAAAACACAAACAACAGTAAAAGGTAATATTTGTAACAAAAATATTATCTTTATCTATGGCTTGTAATCCAGTTATATTTTGTTGTGCTTGATTTTATGAGGTTATTAAACTTGATAAACTAAAAAACTAAACTAAAAAAGCTAAACTAAAATATATTGTCATTAAAGATAAAAGATGTAATTCATAAAAGGTCAGAATGTGTGTAGTGTAACTTTAATAAGCTTATTGCTCAGAATTTAGCAATGGATTGCTCTTAATATAATTCAATTTCCAAACAATTAACACAGAGATTTAATAAATAGACTTCATTATCAATTCTGGAATTTGAAATATTTGCATTAGTCAGTCTGAATACTAGCATTAACGTGGAATTCCCTTCAAAAAGTGCAAGAAGATTTCATAATCTTCAGTTGTTTTTATGACAGTGATGCTAGTTACCGTTAGCAGTTTGTCCATTGTGCTCCCGTGATGCTAACAGCAGCAGTAACTATGATATTCTAGTGAAAACTAAACATGATACATTTGCATAAGAGGTATTAGAGATATTCTTGATAAATGGTGGCTTATAAAAAATACTATAAAATAATAAAGCTAACTCAGGTGTTTGCAGTTTTGGTTGTCTACATTATATCAGTTTCTGTATACTCCAAATATATCAATGCACAGCTACATATGAGATGTAACAAAAATAAATGTTTCACATGACTATATAAAATAACCTTTCACACTAACTGCATTTTCACATGGGTCCCTTTTCAAAACAGTAAAGGATCGGTCGCACTAACTGCTGCTCAGCAAAATTTCGCATGCGAAATCCAGTCGTTTCAATCAAAATCTGCACAATCTGGAATTTGTGTGAATTGGCCGTGTTGACCAACAGAAACCTGCTTAGTTTGAAAGTGAGTTCTGTGTGAGCGGTGCCTCGTTCTACACTATTGACAGTAGACAATGGACCTTTTCTAAAAAGTCCTAAACAGTAATGCTACATGTGTTACATGACAGGAAGTGATGCGCACACAGAGAGGATGATCAGTTGTGGAGTGTTTCTCTCATTTTGCTGGTGATCTTGTCTCGTAGCTCACAGTGTCTGATCAGATCTCTGACCTCCAGAGGAAGTGAACTGCTCCACACCGTCAGAACTGAATCCTCAGCGGGGACTATCACAAACACATTTGAAGGGCTCATATCATGCAGAAGCAAATGTTCCTTGTTCTTTTGAGATTCATGCAAGAATGAGCTGTATGATTCTAAGGGTCAGAGGAAGAGTGTCTTTGCCACACAATTTGATACTAAAATTACAAGTGGACTTCAGAAAAAAAAAAAAAAAAAATTTAACTAAATTAATTCATAAGAAAATTAGAATAATGTAAATGAAATAATAATAAAAAAAAAAAAAGATGTTATAACTTCTTTGAAATTCAATCTATATGTATCTATAATGTTCTTACCTTGCGTTTTGATTTGGTCTTGTGGCATTCGTTGCCGTCTACCCAATACTAGAATAACATTGTTTCGGTTTAGTGTGTCTGCAAAAGAATATAAACAAAAATAAGCAATAAATATTTCTGTATGTAGTGAGTTAAAACACTTGTAACTCAATGTAATACAAACAAAATCCACAAAACTTTATATATCCCTTGTGAAAAAGAAGTCCACTTTAGCATACTTTCAAAAAAAAAAAAAAAACTTTTTACAAAATAATATACTTAAAAAGAATAATTATGTGAATGTAATGTTTTCAGACACTTAATTGCATGTTAATTGAAATTAAATGAAAATGCATTATAGTGTAAATTTATATCAAATGTATGGAAGCCCGTTTCTGACACTGAATAAAAAAATAAAAAAAGGTTATTGTGACTTTTTATCTCACAATTCTGATATAAACTCGCAATTCTGATAAATAAGTCACAATTTCAAGATTTAAACTCGTAATTCTGAGAAAAAAGTCAGAATTGTGAGTTTATATCTCGCAGTTCTGACTTTATTTCTCAGAATTGCGAATTTATGTCTCACAATTATGACTTTATAACTTGCAATTGCGAGTTTATATCTCGCAATTCTGAGAAAAAAGTCAGAATTTCGAGAAAAAAAAAATTATGAGATAAAAAGTCGCAATTACCTTTTTTATTTTTTATTCAGTGGCGGAAACGGGCTTCCATATAAATGCAATTAGCTGAACTTTAGAATGCTTTTTGACCCACAGTAGGACTTTTTTTTTTTTTTTTTTTTAAATATAGCCATCTTAAACATAACGTTATTGTCATTTCTATCGAAACAATTTAGTACATTTAAAATATTTTAAATATAATATTGAATATCACACTGCCGTTCAAATTATAATCAAGTATTTTACATGTGCTTAAGTATGTTAGTCAACACATCAACATAAGTGTACTTCTTTCTTCAAAGCACAACAGAGGATTATTAAAACATAATTATTTAAAATGTACTGGTAAAAAGTAAAATTTTTCATTTGACGAGTGTGTTAAGAAACATAGCCATGAACGTGTATAGTCATAGTCATGACATAGTCTCTTTTTTTCAAGAGATGCCAAACTATTTACCAACTAATCCTAAGTAAGATCACACTTATTAAGAATTTTTTGTGTAATTAGATTAAAGAGAGACAGGAAACAGGAACTGTACCTAACAGCACAGAGCCCATGCAGCGTAAGGAGTGGCAGTGAGGGCTGATGGTCTGAAGTAACTGACAGCTGGAGACTTCCACCAACAGGATGTGTCCTGCTTTCATCCCAATCCACAGAGTACCACTGTGCTGGACCAACAGAGCTTTAACAATCGCCGAAGATGGCACCATTTGTCTAGACTGGTCCTCACTCTGGGCTTTGGGCTTTTTGGTGGAACTTAATCTGTTGTGGACACATAAATCGAAACGGGTTTGGAAGTTAGGGTCAACATGTGGTCAACCGATACTTAGTATTGTCTGAAATGTGAAGATTCTCTGATTTCATAAAACATACAAAGTACAAAAAATTGAGGATTCCAAATTATTAAATTTGGAATGTTTGGAATTAAATTTTAATAAATTCCAAATTATTAAAATTTAATCTGGCCACAAATGTGACATTTCATACAGAATGTTCATTGTCATTTCAGTCAAACTCCCATAACAACTGAACTTCAGATGTGTTTCACATGATCAGTGTCACTGCATGTTGACATGAGGCAAATCTGAGACCTTTCATGAAGTCTGGTGGACATCCGTCATAATCGGATGGTTATTTTCCGAACCAACAACATTTAAAGTTTTGTTTTAGCACAATGGTTGATTGACAGGCAAGTCAGCGGTCTTTAATTGATCTCCAGGACACACCAGATTAGTGTTAACACTACACATGTGTTTCTGACTTCAGATGTAGTGTGAGTGATCTTGCCACAAAACATTTTGGACACTACTTGTATTTAGTGCTGACAACTTGTGATCAGACAATCAGAAATGGATGTTAATAACAGGTGTAAATGGGTCAAAAGTGTTTGAGTGAGTTGTTCATGTGTGCCACTTCACCTGAGTAACTGTGCGCAGTCAATGAGGTTCACCATCCTCTCAGTCTTCTTATCCCAGACCTCCACAGTGTGGCCACCCCTTTTACTTACATACACATGTTTGTCCACCGCTAACCGTGATATACAAGGATCACTGCTGATTCGACCATGTTGCCTAAAAAAACAAATAAACATGCTTAAGAACTGAACATCACCAAGAAATTCTTTGTAAAAGGCTGTTTAACAGACATGCAAACCACATTTTTTATGTGACATTTAAGCAAATCCAAAATTATCCATCCTGATCTTACTAATCTTGTCTTCTGCCTTTGACATGGAGAATCACCAGAATCTCCAGTCTACTCTCTCTGATCTGGACATCACTGAACATCGCATTCCTGAGTATTACTTCATGGGCAAATTACAATCAGCAAACCACTGGGGGTGCCTCAGGGTTCTGTGTTTGGCCCCTTACTATTCTTAATTTATACAATCTCACTAGGCCCAATCATAAAGGACATGGCTTTTCTAATCTGTGCAGATGATAATCAGCTCTATCTATCCTTTATATCTGAGCTAATCAGGCTGGATGACTCCACAATATGAACATGCATCTCTTCCTGCCTCTCAGAACTGATGCTAGAATGCTTAACATAAATGGAGTTATTTTAGTGCCAAGTACACTACATGATTGACCACAAGTATGTAGACACCCACTTCTAATTGTCAAGTATAGCTATTTCAGATAGACACATTACTAGTATGTACATAAAATCAAGCATATGACCATGCAATCACATTAGACAAACATTTTTAGAAGAATGGTGAATGGTGCTTTTCTGTTGTGACGTGTCCAAAGTGAGTTTGGCATGGAGAAACCTGACGAGTCTGCTCAAAGACCACACCTGAACCTGAACATGTCTGGGAATTTGAAAGCCAAATGGGTGCCATGGCCCTAAGGGCTCTGAGAATGGGAGCAAATTCTTACATGTTTTACCGTAGAACCGTTGGGAGGCCCAACATCCTGTTAACACCCATTGTTTTGTTGAAATGAAACAAGCACATATTGGACCGGTATTTTTGGTGTCCACATACCTTTGGCAATGTAGTGTACGGTATACATCAGGGTCAGATATTCCCTTTTGCATTAAGGGGCAACATTTGAATTGATTTCCAGGAACTTTTTATTTTTGTAAGGGCAATTTTTATATTCACTCTATTAAATGTATCTGTACTGTATTTTATGTTAAATACTTAAACGTAACCAATTACTTTATTCAATCAGAACACTAAAGTGTTACCAATAAAATTTGTATTAAAAAAAATAAATAATCTGACATGGCATTTATGTTTATTTACACAGATTACTTTTGCATAATGTGTCAAAATATGACAAAAATAATTAAAAGTCGATTATTGCTCTTGATATTGTTTTAATGATTATTAATGTTGATTAATTAAATACAAAATTGTTTTTGTGTGTGGGGAAACAGCACATCATAGTTTGGCTACACAGACACAATCAATGAAGCTGTATCTGCACTTATTTGGTTTATGATGAGACAATTCAGAAGAGTGAAGAATTAAAGGGGTCATATGATGTTGCTAAAAAGAACATTCGAGAATAAAAGTTACGCCTTCTTTCTTTGCGTGAACATTTGGGCGGTGTTATGCAAATCTTCCCACATCGTGACGTAGACATGTGGGGGCGTGTTAGAACGAGCCGTTTTAGGTAGGCGTGGTTGACTCTTAACTTTTATAAAGAATATATCTCTGGATTTGAGACTTTAGTCTTTGTAATTTTACAGATCTTCTTTATGCACCAAGAGCTTGTAACACTTCAAAGAGAAAGGAAAAATTTAAATCGCATCATATGACCCCTTTAAGTTAGTGAAAAAAACTTTTCCATTTTCAGTGGATTTATTAATTACTGGTGACTAATCTAAACACCACTATTTGGCCATTGCATTCATAAGTTCAACAGAAATGTATGTTGGTTATAATGTTCAATGCCGCAAAGAACATGTAAAAAGAAATTGCGAGCAGATCTAAATGTAATGCTGCACTCAACACTTTTCATTCATTTTCACATTTCACTTACATCTAGAAAGTGTAATAGTGTTAACATTTGTGTTAAGCATTCTAGCAACAAGGCTGAGAGGCAGGAAGAGATATGTGTTAATTTTGTGGAGTCATCCTGATGAATCCACAATATAAGCTCAGGTCTGAAGGACAGGTAGAGCTGATTTTCATGTGCACAGATAAGAAAAGCCATGTCCTTTGAGACTGTATAACTAAGGATAGTATGGGGCCAAACATAGAACCCTGAGGCACCCCCAGTATATTTAATTGCGCATAATTGCGATCTTGAATTTGTCAAGATAAGACCCCTGTTAATTTTATGATCCTGTATAGAGTATATTTATCTTTAGCAGAAAAAGTAAGTTAAAAATTAAGCTGTTTTCCACAAGAATACCTGAACCTAATGGTCATTTGTTTTACACTGACAGATGTAGTTATGCTTTTCTTTAGCAGGGTTAGCATTACTCACGGGAACAGCTGTTTGGGTTTGGTGTCTATGCTTCTATTGATGTCATATCCCACTGTGAGTGAGATCACCCTGCTGCCACAGGCCGCCCACAGTCCTCTGCGCTCCTGAGGGTGACTGGACGGACCGAGACACATCAGAGGAGTGTTCACATCACCAACCTGCAGCGTTTTCACTGGACCACCATTCTTCACCTACAGTCATAAAACATCAGATATGTCAGGCGTCTGACATAGCTTGCAGCATGCTAGAACTGCAGTTAAAAAGTTTGGGGTGGGTAAGATTTTTTTAAATATATTTATGAAAGAAGTCTCTTATGATCACCTAGGCTGTATTTATTTGATAAAAAATACAGTAAAATGGTTATATTATTATAATGTTCAAAAGAACAGCATTTATTTGAAATAGCAAAAATAAAATAGAAACAGAAGTCTTTATAAATTTACTGTCACTTTCAATTAGTTGAATGCATCCTTTTTAAATAAAAAAATATTAATTTCTTTCCAAAAAAATCTTACTGATCCCACATTTTTGAACGGTAGTGTATGCAATCAATTATAGTGCTAAACAATTATAGTTCAGAATTCATTGTCAATTAAAAAAAGCATTCTCAGATGATTCTCCAGTAAATCTTGGACTATTTCAAAGTTCAATTGTATTATACTGTGCATATTGAAATAATTATTCAAATGATAAATTAACGATTAAAAAAGCTATACCTTCAAGGCTGAATCTTCATAAATGACCAATGATCCATCTGCTGTCCCGACCAAAAGGTAATTCTTTAAGTATCTGAAAAATTGAAACATCATTCTCTCATCTAAACGTAGATCATCCAAGAAGCCATTCCACTTTTTATTCAAAAAATTTAGATGTAATCACCTGTGGTGAAGGTCAGTGTGAAAGTAGAGTGATGTCACAGAGTCCTTCACACTCTTCAGACAGTGCAGAACCTCTGCTTTTATTGTGTCCACGATGAAGAGTGAACCTGACTGTGTACCAGCGACTAACCAGTCACTGCATGACCCCGGAGCTCTGATGATCACCATGCAGAGGACTGGACTGCTGTCAATCTCCTAAAAGAGGGCGGGAACACTGTTAACTGGACTGTTAAATATACAGCAGTCAACGAGTTAATTCTTCAAGGATTGTGGGTGAACTGGTTGGCATGTAACTGAAAACTATTATATGCTGAACACTGAAATGAGGATCATATAATCATATTTGTTTAGATGAAATAGCATTTAACAAGAAAAGAGTGTATATACAGTAAAATACATACCTGGCTCAAGCTTCCCCCTGTCTCCAGATCCAGTGATGTCACACAGCCTAATTTCTGGCTGCAACTGCCACCTCCAATCCACACACAGGTATTTTTACCTCCGTCTGCACCTCCGCTGGCACCGGAGACAGTGAAACACTCGCCAGGCAAACTCATCGATGTCAGCTCTCGCATCAGACAAAGCATCTCTACAGAATTCAGACGATCAAACAGCTAGAACATACACAGAGATATTTATGTACTCAAATGTTTTCACAGAAGTTCAGAAGTGATTCTTTCTAAGATGTAATAAGTTTATAAGAATCAGTTACAATCAGTTGTAATCAGTCTAACCTGAGCAGACGTAGGCCTGTCCTGTGGGTTTTCTCTCAAACAGTCCCTCATCATGGAATAAAATATCAATAATATACATTAATATTTTTTTTTTTTAATCTTACAGTTAAATTGATACTTGTAATTAATATAATAACATACTATAATATTAAACAATATATACCAAAAGTGACAGTAATAATATATATATTTCAAATAAATGCTTTCCTTTTGAACTTTCTATTAATCAGAATCCTGGAAAAAAAGTATCACCTGCTTCCTCAAAAATATTAAGGTTTTCAACTGTGATAATAATCAGAAATATTTCTTAAAGCAGCAAATCAGTATATTAGAATGATATCTGAAAGATCATCTGACACTGAAGACTGGAGTAATGATGCTGAAAATTCAGCTTTGATCACAGGAATAAATTATATTTTTAAATATATTAAAATATAAAATGTTTATTTTAAATATTTTTTTCCAATTTTACTAATTATATATACAGTATTTTTGATTAAATAAACACAGCCTTGGTGAACATAAGAGACTTCTTTGAAAAAAAAAAAAATCTTACAGACCCCAAACTTTTGAATGGTACAGTAGTGTATGTATAAACATTAGTGCTGTCAATCGATATAAAAAAATAATTTAAAAAAACTAATTAATCACACATTTCTTTCTGAAATTGCGATTAATCCCACCTAACATTAAAGTTTTTAAAAATACTTTTACATTGCAATAATTTCACATTCAATCTTCAAATTAATGTACAAACAACATAAAGACAGTATATTTTTAATATTTGTATAATGGCATCTTTTTTATGACTGAAGGCAAGTATCCCTGATACTAATACTGATGTCTCTATGAAATAGTTTTTTTTCCTAATATTTAACCATTGACTATAGCCATTCAACACTACAGCATAATTGAGAGCTATCAATTTGAACATTTATTAGACTACTTAAAATAACTTCTAATTTATGTGAACTTTAAACAATCTACACATAATCCATTATAATAAATGTCATATTTAGCTACATGTGCCCTTCAGCAAGTAGGAAATATACAGAAATTGAAATTGAAGTTATCAAACTCTAAATTATAAATTAAATATTGATGAATCCTCTTTTTTCTTTTGTTGTTTGATAAACAGACATCACAGCAGCTGGTTATTAGGTTTTTTTGGCTGCTATTACTTTAAGAGCTGCTGCTGCTGAACATGATGCAGATCTGACACACATCTCTTTACCTTTTCTGACCCACCTCAGCTCTTAAAGTCTCTACTGATGAGTTGACGAGTTGAATGGGGTGTCTTAGATGAGGGAGACAGTGCTGCTGCGCCAGGACAGTTTGAAAACCACTGCATTTCAGAGACATGTCCTTAAATGTGACTCATATATAACAAATACTTACATGCACGCAGTTTTAAGGCAGCTTTAATTGCCTTTTTGGTAACTTCATGACTTAACTGATGACATCACCACAACACTGCATGTTCGTCGTTTCTTTCGCGCTTTGATATGAAATGATACAGGCTACAGCGAGCACCGCCGCATTTGTGCGTGCAATACAACGAGCATGCGGTATGAGCGCAGTTGCTTTTCCACGCTCGTTTGACTCGCGCCTGGTGCTGAGGTGAAGTTGGAACGCGTGACTGAAAAGTAGGGCTGTGCAAAAAATCGAATGCGATTTTCATGCGCATCTCGTCAGTAAAACCGCTTCTGTGATTAGTAGTAAATCTCCAGCATGTGCTTGCAGATGGAGCGGCATTTACTACACAGAGCCGTAGTTCACTGACAAGCTACGCAAAATCGTGTTCATAATCGGCAATGAATCGCCTGCGATTTTGCGTAGCTTGTCAGTGAACTACGGCTCTGTGTAGTAAATGCCGCTCCGTCTGAAAGCACGTGCTGGAGATTTACTACTAATCTCTCCCATTTTATGTGGTCATAAAGACGTTCTGTGTCTAAATAAATGCAATTCTTGTCAAGAAAAAAAAAAGAGACAGAAGCAGCAGTAGTGAGTGAGGTGGCCAAACCTAGCTCCGCCCCTGCGTTAATTGCGCTAATTTTGACAGCACTAATAAACATCAAAATAAACAAAAGAAGCATGTTACCTGGTAGTTTACCCTGCACAGCCACCTCATCAAACTCACTGGGAAACTTCATTCCATCAGATATCCGCTCGCCGTAGGTCAAAAGGTCATACAGCAGCAGACCAAACGAATATACATCTGCCTGGACGTTATAGATGACATTACCTCGGGCGACCTCCGGGGCTCTAAAACCTGTGTGTGGAAGACACAATATTAAAATATATAAAGTAAACATCCTCTGTTTCATAGAGGATTATGGGAAAGTTAGAGGTACCTGGTGTTCCTTCTGAGCTGCGGACGCCCATACTGCAGCAGTACTGCGCTATGCCAAAGTCTGTGATTTTAGCGATGACCTCAGCATCCGTCTTCAGGTTAAACAACAGAACGTTGTGCGGCTTCAGATCTCGGTAGATAATCATAGAAGAGTGCAAATAGCTGCTTGAATACAAAACATGTTGTAGATGCTGTCCTACAGCTTAAACCTGTATTGAACCCAGCATGTTTACTTAAATGTGATTTCTTTAAAGCTTTTGTGTGTTGTGTAGCTAGCGTACCCACCTGAGACCATCCGCCACATGCAGTGCTATCCTGTGCTGTAGTTTGCGGCTGAGACTGCTATTTTCACGCTCAAAAAGCGAGTCCAGAGAGCCATATGGGGCGAGTTCCATCACAAGAATGTGTGGGTTACAACCGGCAGCCAAAAGCCCCACCAGACTGAGGTGACACAGTCTGCCAAGAACCGCCAGTTCCTGGAGACAAAGAATTTTAAGGCAAATACACCAATCATGTACTAACGCTGGTACTTGGACACCACTTGCTCATGTCCTAACCAAGTGAAAGACTTGCCGGGGTTATTTTTCTATTGCATAACTCACCTGTCGTTCCAGCCGATGAACATAAAGTGTAGATGCATGTTTATTGAAAATCTTAACAGCAACTTCCTCATTCTTGTACACAGCTTTATATACAGAGCCAAAGCCTCCATCTCCTTCATTAAAAAAATCTGTTAGTTTATACTTGCATTACTTTGTTGACATTCACTGTCAGTAACATATGTGAGATAAGATGTAATAATTTATTAATGTACTAACCCAACATATACTCCATTGAGAGCTCCATCTCCAGTTGCTCTGGATCCAGTATGGTGCTGGTTGGCTGGTCACACAGTACCAGGTCTGGAGAGATCTGAGAGATGGGCAGAGTACAGCTGGGGTCCTCTGGGTTCACCAGCAAACCATCTTACAGACAAGCAACCAGTCAGTACACTACAGGTTCTGCACAATTTTTATACACCAGGTTATCAAGAAAGGAGTTATATTTCTGAATGTGAACAGAATGGATAGAGACCTGCATTGATTTTGGAGAGAAGATCTTCCAGCAGCATCTTTTGGCATTTGTTTCCATCACTGAAGCTGTACAGAGCCCATTTCTTAAGCAGTGTCTCTCCGCTGCCATGGACATCAGTGACGAGGAGGCCTGGAAACCATTCCTCCAGCAGAGAGTCAATGTGATCCACCACCTGCCCAAACAACACACAACCTACACACAGGACAGGCAATGTTATCAACACGATGTCATCAACACAATACCATCAAAAAGAACATCATAACCACCACATCATCTTCAACAAAGCATTATCATCACAATCACATCAGCATCACCACCACCAGGACATCACACTGCCACTATAACAATCATCTGTCCATCACCACAATCATCATTACTATCATCAATTCAAATGTATCACTATCACCATCACCACAATCATCATTGCTATAACTGAATCAAAATAATCACTATCACCATCACATCACATCATCATCACTGACATTATCACAATCACCACAACCACAATCATCATTACTATGAATGAATCAAATGCATCACTAATCACCATCACAACACAACAATCATCCTCACCACAATAATCATTAATATCACTGAATCAAATTAATCACTATTGTCATCACTACCACCATCACATCACATTAATCATCATCACTGACATTATCACAATCATCACCGCCACAATCATCATTACTATCACTGAATCAAATGCATCACTATCACCATCACTATCATCATCATAATCATCACATCACATTATCAACATCACCAACACTATCACAATCATCATTACTATCACTGAATCAAATGCATCACTATCACCATCATAATCATCACATCACAATCATCATTACTATCACTGAATCAAATGCATCACTATCACCATCACTATCATCATCGTAATCATCACATCACATTATCAACATCACCAACACTATCACAATCATCATTACTATCACTGAATCAAATGCATCACTATCACCATCACTATCATCATCATAATCATCACATCACATTATCAACATCACTATCATCATCATAATCATCATTACTATCACTGAATCAAATGCATCACTATCACCATCACTATCATCATCATCACATCACATTATCAACATCACCAACACTATCGCAATCACAATCATCATTACTATCATTGAATTAAATGCATCACTATCACCATCATTATCATCATAATCACATCACATTATCAATATCACCAACACTATCACATTCACAATCATCATTACTATAACCGAATCAAATGCATCTCTATCACCATCACTATCATCATCATAATCATCACACCACATTATCAACATCACCAACACTATCACAATTACAATCATCATTACTATAACTGAATCAAATGCATCACTATCACCATCACTGTCATCATCATAATCATCACATTATCAACATCAACACTATCACAATCACAATCATCATTACCAGAGGCGTGCCCCCTCAGATTTTTGAGCCAAGTGGATTTTGAATGCAGCTTCCAAAAGACAAAAAAAGCACTGCGCATTATAACCAATCACACACGATGCTGTTGAGCTTATGAATGAAATGACCAATCAGAGGAGTTCAGATGAGTCATCGCTAAAATGACAGTGTTTTCTTCACTCACTCACTGACTGAATACCTCTCTCCTGGCGAATTCTCTCATCAGAAACAACAACATGCAAATGTGTGTACGAATCTGTAAGATATTAATTTCATAGTGTGAAAGTGTTATGATTAGTAGCCTAACTTGCAATGTTTTTATTCACATTAACTTTCAATGTTAAATTCACATTAAATATAAAGTCAGTTGAATTAAAAATATGTTATGGCATGACACCCATATCTGTTAATTAATTAAACAGTTTTTATGCATAGTTAATAGACTACATTATTAGGTTACTTTGACCATCGCCCACTATAGATCAACATAATCTATAAAGGTGAGAATCAAGATATTTCATGATATAGTTAATGCGTTTGGGAATGTTTCGAATAAACAGGAAAAAATAAATAAAACGTGCTGTTGTGGCTGCTGTGTGTCACATGACGACTCCCCCAACTCGTGCCCCCTCAAAAATAATGAGTGCATGACGCCCCTGATCATTACTATCACTGAATCAAATACATCACTATCACCATGACTATCATCATCATAATCATCACATCACATTATCAACATTAGGGCTGGGACGATAAATCAATGCAGAATCGATTCGTGGATCGATTCTGAGCTTAGATTTTAACAGCAGATGGCGCTCTAATCTAGTTTTTATCCGCACACTCAAATGCTCATGAAGAAGAGTACTAAAGAGCGCTTGTGCGTTCGGCTGAGTCATGTAACGTTAATTTCACCTCAGCTCAGAATGCTTTTATGACGCGAGATTAATGTAAACACAGCCCACTGTGAACACCCTTGTAATTCACTTCAACCTTTTCGAATTTTATGAATGATTATTTTAGGTTAAAGTGTGTGTAAGGATTTGGAAACAAGCAGCGTACGGCTGTTCCCTTTCGATTCGGTCACTATTGCTATGGGGAATTACCCTTTGCTCCAAATACTACTGAAGCCTTATTGAATCATGCCACTGAAACTGGCCAATGGTGTTCAAGCGTGCGAAATATGAGGGGATCCCACTCTATATAAAACAGCGCTTGTACGTCATCTATTCAGAATCTTTTTCTTCAGCCAAACTTCTACGAGAAGCAAGAAGCCTATCAACTAGACTACTCACCGTGATCTACACGCTGCAGCGGACACGCCTTCTCTTCCCCTGCTGTGTTCCGGTGAGCTTCGGAAACAAGGATGACTCGCGATTGCCTCTCCTGCGCAGAGCCAATCGAACTCTCTGATGGCCACAAGTCGTGCGTCTTCTGCCTGGGTTGCGCACACGCAGAGGCAGCGCTTGGGGGGTCGAACTGCCCCCACTGCGGAGATATGAGCCTCTGGACTCTCAAGCTCCGTGTGGCCATCGTCCAAGGCGATGTACTCACCCAACTAGCCCTGCCGCGCTCTTCCTCTGCAGCCTCTTTCGAGTCAAGGAGGAAAGTGCCGCAAGCTTCTGATGCGGATCTGTCAGGGTCTGGTGACGAGCCCGCGCCGGCTCAGTGCCCACGCGCTCCT